GATAGATAGATAGATAGATAGATAGATAGATAGATAGATAGATGGATGGATGGATGGATGGATGGATGGATGGATGGATAGATAGATAGATAGATAGATAGATAGATAGATAGATAGATAGATAGATAGATAGATAGATAGATGATAGATAAAGAGAAATAGATCGATAATATATAAATAAAATAAAAAATATATATGAGAGATAGGATACGGAGATGGATGGATGGATGGATGGATGGATGGATGGATGGATGGATAGATGATAAAGGTAGACAGATGATAAAGATAGATGATGAACACAGATGATATAGACAGACAGATGATATAGACAAACAGATGATAAAGACAGATAGATACAGATACAGATAGATAATAAAAATAGACAGATGATAGATAGATATAAAGAAAGAGCTGGAAGGGACCTTGGAGGTCTTCTAGTCCAACCCTTGCTCAAGCAGGAGACCCTATACTATTCCACACCAATGGCTGTCCAGTCTCTTCTTAAAAACCTCCAGTGTTGGAGCAGACACAACTTCTGGTGGCAAGTCGTTCCACTGGTTAATTGGTCTCAACGTCAGGAAATTTCTCCTTATTTCAAACTGCCAATTATTCTTATTTATGCCCCCAAGAATTCTTCCCCTGGAATGGCTTAGAGATATAGCTTCTTAACTTCTGCTGCCCCAGCCTTAAAGCATCAGAAGATGCTGCCATTCATTTCAAGGAAAAGAGACCACTCGGTGTCGTTCTTTTTTTAAACAGTCACCTCATTCCTGAAACACAAGTTATTTGGACTATCCACCCACGTCTGCTCCAAAATGACACCAAAGACACATTCACCAAATCAGCGGCTCGGCCCTCACTTCATTCGCCTCGGCCAGCTTGATCTCCTTCTCCTGCAGCTTCTTATTCAGGGTCTCTATGTTCTCCTGGCAGGTCTTGTTGATCTCGAGTTGTTCCTGAAGGGTATTTTTGATCTCGGTTTCCCTTTCCTGACACTGCTTGATGCGCTTAAGGAGCTCCTGGTTACACTCAGCTTCCCGCTGGAAAAAGAAAACAAGAGAAAGTTTAGGAGAGAAAAAAATATTAGCACTATGAAAGGATTTCAAGTCGCTTGGAAATAATCACTGGTACTTTAGAAGTCGGGTGTAAGTAACCTTAAGCTAGGCCTGTCGTAACTTCGAACGGTTGCTATAGGTTAAGGAACACCAGCTGGGTGGTTTTCTTGCAGACGTTTCATGACCCAATTAGGTAACATCATCACTGCTAAAAGGGAGAGGAGGAAGAAGGGGAGGACTGTGTGGTCCTTGGGCTCTCTTGAGTTTGGGGTTTTTCCTGCAGACATTTCATGACCCAACTAGGTAACATCATCAGTGCTATGATGATATAACCCCCCCCTCTCTCTTCCGGCACTGATGATGTCACCTAGTTGGGTCATGAAATGTCTGCAAAAAACAAAATACATCCCACAATGCTTTAGTGTGTTATATTCCAGAGATTGAATTTTAAAATCTGGTTTTTTTTAAAAAAAAAACTTTGTTCAAGTCATTTTCCAAGCTGGATTCCATGCTTTTCACTGACTGCCATTGTCAATCTGTGCTCTTTTTTTGTTTTTTTTACATAAAGGCCTGCATAGTCTCCTTCCAACCTGATCATGTCTTGCTTTGTCATGCAAATGAGCTGCATCTAGACATTATATAGTCCACTGGCTTTCACCCTTACCACAATCAACCGCTTTTCCATCTTCCATCTAAACTCTTTTTTCCCCCCACTGTTCCTTTGATAACATTTGCGTGTAATGGGCAGCAAAAGCTTTCTTCTCCATTTCCCTTTTTTAATGTACCATCTTAAACCACTTAGGCCAATTTTCCTTCCATATCTTTCCAAAATGAAATAAAATAAATGCCCGTGGAACATTTCTGTTTCGTGATGTTCTAGTCTTATTTAAAGCTGTTGCTTTATGTTTATGCAGTCGATTAGACCAGGGGTCGCCAACCTTTTGGATCTCAGGGACCACCAAAATGCATAATTTTAAATCCATGGACCACTAATATGAATGTTGATTGACGGTGGCTTGCTGACGTTTTCCCAGGGTCTCTGCAGAAAGCAGCAGAGACTCTGGGAAAATCCCCCAAAAAGTCTGCAGGAAAATTCCCCGCCCCGTTTTCCTACCGATCGATCATTCTTTATTTGGATCACAGCATACCGTCTCCAGCTCCGTTCTCTCGGGGAGGGAGAGAGAGAGAGAGACTTTTGGCTTCATGCAAGGAAAGCAGCAGAAGTCTTTCTTTCTCTCCCCCAAACTCCGCCAGAAATGAGTCTTTGCTGGCGCAGCCTCTTGCAGCAGGAGGCCTTGCAGGGTCCCAAAGATTCATTTCTGGCGGAGTTTGGGAGAGAGAAAGAAAGACTTTCGCTGCTTTCCTTGCGTGCAGCCAAAAGCAGAAGAAGAAAGAAGCGGAAAGAAGCAGCCCGGTGGCCAAGCCAGGCACATGGGGTGTGTGGTGCAAGTTCCCCCACTCTGCCCTTTCCTCCCTCCCCTCACTACCTCATGTTGTTCACAATGCAAGCGATGCAAGCCTTGTGTTCCCACGCTTCCTGGATTAATTGCTTTGGGGGGGTCATTTCTCTGTGGACCACCAAAATTTTCTCACGGCCCACGAGTGGCTCCCAGCCCACTGGTGGCGACCACTGGATCAGACTGCATTTCGGCACGGAGTCCTTCTACTATCTGAGACTTTCTGTTTTCCAATAGTTTCCTTTCCCTTTTAGAATAATTATGCTGTCATGTCTTCTTCTCCGCTGTCTGCTTTACCTGCGAAAGTCCTCACCTGCCAGCCTCTCCTTAAAGATATAATCTATTAACGTGCCTAATGTCTTAATTAGCCATCGCTGATTTTCTAGTTTGCTGTCCAAGTTATCAGCGTCCATCTCAGCCTCGCCAGCTCTGGCTGTAACGTACGGATGGTCTTCGTGCAGGCAGTCCTTGACTTACGACCAAAATGGAGCCCCCACATTTCTGCTGCTAAGCGGAACATTTGTTAAGAACATTTGGCCCCAATTTTTATAACCTTGCCCGCCACAGCGGTTAAATGAATCACTGCGGCTGTTAAGCCAGCAACACGGTCGTTAAGTGAATCTGGCTTCCCCCGTTGGCTTTATTGGTTAGAAGGTCGCAAAAGGGGATCATGTGACCCCGTGGACACTGCGACCGTGGTAACTTATGAGTCTGAACTTTGATCTCGTGACCCTGAGGATGTTGCAACCATTGTTAAGTGTGAAAAACGGTAACTCAGTGCCATTGTAAAACTTGGAATGGTCACTAAACGAATAACTGTGACTCCAGGCACAGCTTGAGAACTTGAACTCATAACCCTAATCCAAATCTCCCAGGTGATGCCAGCTAGACTGCCTTGAATAAATCATAAATGTGTCAACATTCCAGAAAACCTCTACTCCAACCAATAACTCCGAGATTAGACATCGTCTCAAAAGTTCTTTTGGATAGTAAACTGGCACAACTGGGGAATCCTGTATCTGAAAGTTCCACGCTTCCTTTTGCAATAAGTAAAAAATGACAAATCCATCCCCTGCACCCATCATCGCATCACATGCCGCAATCACCATCTGTCCCAACTTGAGACTTCCCCTCACCCAGGTGCAGAAATAACATGACCTTGACTTAGAAAAAGAATGTTGTTATGTCTAACCACATACACTCCAAGAAATTCCCCTCTCCCATTTTCCCAGGCTCAAAATGTGGCAGTGTGGGAGCATCTGGTCTCAGCATGGCTTCCAAAGCTGAAAAAATGATTGTATACTGGCCTAAATCATAAACTGTGGCTTACAAACCACAGAGACCAAAGCGATAGAACAAAACCCTCAAGCAAGCCAGGTTACAAAGGCAGAAGCCCATCCCCAGCTCACCTCAAACTTGTTGGCGTTCAGGTTGGCTGTCTTCTCGAGTTCAATCCGGGCCCTTTTGTGACTTAATTCCATCTGCATTTTCTCCCGTTTCATCTGCAACAGCCGCGTGTCCGAATGGATTTGCTCGGCCTGCTCTTCCAGAGGACCCGTTGCCCAAAAGGGAAAAGAGACCAAGAAGTAATCCCATGAAGCTGTTGAAGAAGGCTGGCCAGGCCTCCATCTCTGGAGGGGTGTATGGGATGGGAAGGGCCTAGAGTTAACCTGTAGCATTTTACAAGCAACTTCCACACACCCCTACCCAGGAGTAAGACAATATTCTGTCCAGGAATTCAGGGCCCCTGCTCCACCCGGTTTTCTGTGTTTAGCGAAAAGTAAAATAAGCATCAATAGGGATGCGTCAGCTAGTTCAGATAGGCAAAATATTTGGTGGGCAGAAGAATGTTTTGTTGTTGTTAGTTCACCTCCAAACTAAAACATCCTTCTGGATATGGACCAAATCACAACTACTTAGTCAACTAATTCATTTACTTAAAACAATGATACAGCTGCCCAACTTATAACCATTTCTGGGCGAGCTCTCAATCCAAAGGTAAAACAGCATTAAAAACCATAGTAAAATTATAAAAATTAGCACACTGGCAACCACACTATAGGGTTGAGGGTCAAAGGGAAAGAAGAGGGAAAGAGAGAAGTCTACGATTGCTGGCTTGAGCACAGACCCCAGGCTGGGCAAGCTGATGGCCGCTGTACTTATAATGTACATCATTATTAAGTTTGCTCAATTTTTGCTTGCTTGGATTAGGCGATGGGCTTGTTTGCCAGGTGTGTGACCACTGATGAGCACTGTCTCACCTTCATCTTTTGCTCGTATTGGGTCTGGAGTGAGTCCGGATGAGGCAGTGAGTCGATTTTGAGAAACGAATCCTCCCCGGACGATTCTTCCTTATAGAGGGCCGCGTAGGTGTCAAACGTCTTCAGGAGGTTGAAGACGGTGGTGTTCGGCCCCTCTTCCTCCATCTGCATCCGAGTTCTGCCATGCATACAATGAAAAATAATTTTAGAAAAATGAAAGGCGTCTCTCTTCACACACAGGTCAAGTTATTTCACTCCAAACTGTAGCCTTCCAAATTAGTTTTTTTTTTTAAATCTGACTTCTTTGATTAGAGCAAGGGTCTTCCAACTTGGCATGTTTAAGACTTGTGGGCTTCAACCGAGAATTCCTGAGCTAACATGACTGGAGGGGGAATTCTGGGAGTTGAAGCCCACAAGTCTTAAAGCTGTCAAGTTTGAAGACCCCCTGGAATA